GATTTTTTTATTATTATTTTTAATTCGAACAAATTTTGGACCCTTTGCTGAAAACTTAAGCAAATTTACGCCTGCAAACAGGAATATTTTAACTCTGAAACAAAATCTGTGTAAAGGACAGTTTTACTGCACCCCAAATATTTTACAGCCGCACTGAAGAAAGAAGGACAACTTGAATTCGACTACTGTAATATTTTTGTTCTTATGAGTTTTGATACTTTGATCCTTTGTATCACTAGCTAGCTCGCGTTTAAAGAAGACTGCGAGCGGTCTCTTATTTTTCTTTTGGGCACAGTAGAGAGCACGCGCTAGGGGACTGAGAGGCATAGCCTCGAGGAACGAGGGCCCAAACTCTTCTCCCTTTTACCATTAATTTAATATGTCATCAGCGCCCTTCGCTCTCGCTTTCGTTTGCTTGCTTCGCTCACATGTTTACCAAATTCACTGGCTCATTAAATTACACGAAAAACACGCAAAAGAGGAAAAAAACCTTTGTGGACTGTTCTTGCCCTTGCTGCTCTATATCAGTTCACTCTCATACCATTTCTTTGAGATTAAACACACACACTGATTAAAGGATCTCCAGCGTGTATTTTATACTTGTCGACATTTCACAAACTTGCTATAAATTATTTCAGTTTCTCCCGTGACGCTACATGGATTATCTTTGTCCTCATACATTTTTTTAATATGGATTAGTTTTCTTCTCTCTTTGGCGTCGTCATTAATTCGCCCGGATAAATTGGAGAGATATGGTTGCGTTTTTCATCGTGTTTTGCTCTGGACGGCTCACCAGGCACAACAGGCAGATGAGGTTTCACCTCGGGTTGCACCAGAAGTGTATTGTAACCAGGATTAAACCTAAATGAAGTCTGCATCTCATTGCAATGAATATCAGTTTCTTGTGTTAAAGGAGGCGCGGACGCTTTATATGACGGTTGAGAGCCCTGTTGGGGGTGTCCTGGGGGGAGACGTTTCACCACCCCCATGGGGAGCTGAGTATAGGAGACTGGAATTGCATACGTATGAACAACATTTGGTGCGGTTCGCTCGAGGCTGACGTGTGAACCGTTGGTGGCATGACAGCCAGTGCTATAATAGGTTGTCCTGTTTGGTGCGTTTTGCTGGAACAAACGCATTGAGTTGCTTTGACGATGGTAACTCGTTGGTAGTTGATGGGTCTGGTCTGTTGAAGGCGGAATCCAAAATGAAGCTGGAAGGTTGCGTTGAGACATAGGAACAGTCGGTCTCCCTAAAAAAGGAAAATTCCGCCGGCCTTCAAGCGCACCGGAAGCGCGGAAAGAGCGCTCGTGCCAGTCCTGCTCCGCATCACACATTAAATGAAGAGCGGAGCGCTCGTTTCACCGCCCAACCTTTATCCGCCCTGATTGGAGCCCTCCGCGACAAACCACGACGGGCGTGTGACATGCGTAGTGCGCAAGATTTATGCAATTTCAGTTCCGGTTGACCTCCGTGAATCGCGAACGTCTGCTGCTTAAGCTCTCTAATAAGAGACTTCCCCGAGGACGGAGTCTTCTTCAGAGTATTTTACAGAAACCTTGCTTTGTTACTTCTTCGCGTTTTGTTATTAGCATTTATTGTTTTGTTACAAAATAAACATACTTCACTTACTGAAAATGGTGAAAATTTAATGAGCGCCCAGCCTCGAATAAACGCCCACCCCGAATAAGCGCCCACTACTCTCAAGGTCCAAAAATTTGATAAGCGCCCAGGGGCCCGTTTCTCGAAAGTCCCGTTAACTTTTCGGGCCCGAAATCAAATATTCAAATCGAAATATAAAGAATAAGAGAGCGGGTCTTGGCTAGCAAACTACTGCATTTTGTTTCGTTAACTGATAGTTTTATCTTGTTAAATGTAAAACTATTGAAACTTCGATCTCTAATCGAAACCGAGACAGCTTACCGGGCCCGTTAATTATCGGGACTTTCGAGAAACGGGCCCCAGGGCGGTTAATCGAATAAATACAGTAGTTACAACAAATTAGGCAACCTTTAGTTGAATTTAAGTGGCTAGTTACAAAAAGTTAGACAGTAAGTGTAACAATCTGGCGTCCGCCATTTTGTTTACACACAGTCCACAGGCTACCCCCGGGGAACGAGGTTGAGGCTACGTCCACATGATACCCATTCAAAGGGTAAAAATATGAGTTTTACTAGAAAGATGTTTAGAATTTTAACCAAGATGAGAGTTTTAACTTGTTTATTTTTTTTAAAAAAGGGGTTATTCAGCATTTTGGTTCAAAATAGCCCAAAAGTTACCAAAAAAGTGCTAGTTTTCCAAAAAGTTGCTGGAAGTTGCTCTCTGACAAAAAAGTTGCTCAAAATCCTAAAAGTTGTTAAAAAGTTGCCGAGCAGAATCTGGAAAGGTCTAGCGGAGGGATACAAGAACAAAATATATAAAATGTCAGCAAGGGACAACCCTGGGTAAACACAAAAATAATAGAAAAGAGGGTATAATCACCAGCTACGTAATTTACACTTAACTTTCTGATAATTACGGACGTTTCAATTTCGGGCGTTTAATGGCTCAGTCAGTTCCAAGCAGTAAAATCAACTTTTGCTTCTTTTGTTCGTGTATAAATCTGCTCCTGACCGCAAAGGGGCATCTCCATGAATCTACTCAAAAAAAAAATCACATTGCCCTATAAATGCCCGTGGGCAATTGTCACCCTTGAATCAGTTTCAGATTTTTTTATTATTATTTTTAATTCGAACAAATTTTGGACCCTTTGCTGAAAACTTAAGCAAATTTACGCCTGCAAACAGGAATATTTTAACTCTGAAACAAAATCTGTGTAAAGGACAGTTTTACTGCACCCCAAATATTTTACAGCCACACTGAAGAAAGAATGACAAGATGAATTCGACTACTGTAATATTTTTATTCTTATGAGTTTTGATACTTTGATCCTTTGTATCACTAGCTAGCTCGCGTTTAAAGAAGACTGCTAGCGGTCTCTTATTTTTCTTTTGGGCACAGTAGAGAGCACGCGCGAGCGGACTGAGAGGCATAGCCTCGAGGAACGAGGGCCCAGACTCTCCTCCCTTTTACCATTAATTTAATATGTAATCAGCGCCCTTCGCTCTCGCTTTCGTTTGCTTGCTTCGCTCACATGTTTACCAAATTCACTGGCTCATTAAATTACACGAAAAACACGCAAAAGAGGAAAAAAACCTTTGTGGACTGTTCTTGCCCTTGCTGCTCTATATCAGTTCACTCTCATACCATTTCTTTGAGATTAAACACACACACTGATTAAAGGATCTCCAGCGTGTATTTTATACTTGTCGACATTTCACAAACTTGCTATAAATTATTTCAGTTTCTCCCGTGACGCTACATGGATTATCTTTGTCCTCATACATTTTTTTAATATGGATTAGTTTTCTTCTCTCTTTGGCGTCGTCATTAATTCGCCCGGATAAATTGGAGAGATATGGTTGCGTTTTTCATCGTGTTTTGCTCTGGACGGCTCACCAGGCACAACAGGCAGATGAGGTTTCACCTCGGGTTGCACCAGAAGTGTATTGTAACCAGGATTAAACCTAAATGAAGTCTGCATCTCATTGCAATGAATATCAGTTTCTTGTGTTAAAGGAGGCGCGGACGCTTTATATGACGGTTGAGAGCCCTGTTGGGGGTGTCCTGGGGGGAGACGTTTCACCACCCCCATGGGGAGCTGAGTATAGGAGACTGGAATTGCATACGTATGAACAACATTTGGTGCGGTTCGCTCGAGGCTGACGTGTGAACCGTTGGTGGCATGACAGCCAGTGCTATAATAGGTTGTCCTGTTTGGTGCGTTTTGCTGGAACAAACGCATTGAGTTGCTTTGACGATGGTAACTCGTTGGTAGTTGATGGGTCTGGTCTGTTGAAGGCGGAATCCAAAATGAAGCTGGAAGGTTGCGTTGAGACATAGGAACAGTCGGTCTCCCTAAGAAAACAAAAAGACAAAGAAACATACTGAGAAATATCAGAGGATTGAACAGGAAAATCGACAAGACATGGGAGAGGCGGACCCTGTGTTTGATTCGTCACACGTACAGCTACAGTTTCAGCTGATTTGAATTGGGATGCGGTAACTTAATCAGTAGAACGAAAACAGCGAAATAAAAACTGACTTCAGTAATCAATTGGGCCTCTCCATTCAAGATTTGGGGGGGGCATTCAGAAACTTCCCGAGAAGTAGGATGAGGTGTCTGACAGCGGAAGTTGATTTCATATTTCATTTATGCAAATATACTTGCCTGGAACAGTTTTAGTGGTGGGCTGGACACAGCCAACTACTGTTGGTGCGCGTGCAATTTGATAAGTGTCAAGTCATTGCATTTGGTGTCCAAACTGAATTTGGCTCCAGAAGTTCTTTCTGAGCGAACTCTAGCTATCTAAAACCGCATCCAGGAGACTGCTGATCAGCCTCGATCAAGCCTCATTTCTTAGACGGTCCGATCGCCCTCGGACTACTGATTTAAGCTAAGTACAAAAGGACGCAACAACACCCGACATTGCTGTCCCAACAATGTTGGGAGTTATTGCGTCCGTTTGCACGTAGCTAAACGCTTGACCTGTTTCAAACTTTGCGCAACAACTCCCAACAACATGCAACAGGGTGTGCAAACGGACGCAACATGTCACATCCAACAATGTTGCGTCCGTTTGCACGGGGCTTTACTAATTAACCTATATTGTCATAGGTTCAGGCTGCAATGTAAGCGACCACACCCAAAAGCTTGCCGGAGCGCCACCCTGGGTGGTCTGTATCGGAAACAAGTCTGAACCATCCCCATCTTCAAAAGACCCTGAGTTAACCATAGGAAGTCTCCTGCACCGTATTAAAAGGATGTCAGAATTGAGCGGGTCAAGTAATTCAAGTCAATAACTGATACACCTGAGAAGACCACGAGTCAAGTGACAGCTTACCTGAGGACGGTCTGGCTCACAACAGGTTCCAACTATAGAAGTGGACTGATTGCGAAAATTTCCATACTTTGGGCAAGTGATTGCGTAAGAGAAATGTTCGCGTATGGGTGGTGATCACAAATGGATGTTCGACATTATTAACTGTCTCGAGAAGGTGAGAAAAGATATTTACATTTCTCGAGACAGAAATTTCTCACAGTTACTCGGTAGGAAGAAGCACGCATTCGTTTATTATTGACACCCCACCTTCGATTTCCTTTTCTGAGATAAAACAGGATTTTACCGCGAGAAAGTTTCTCAACAAATTTTTTACTTCCCTCTGCAAATTTTTGTAAGGCTAGCTTAAGAAGCTACTAGAGCTCAAGATATTTGTGACAGGGAATTTTGGGAAGTGGAATATAAGCAATTTTGTGAAGAGAAAGATAAGCAAAGTTCGAAATAAACTTTGATCGACAATTGAAAGTGGATTATGTTCTTATGCAGCTAGCGTTCAAGAAGACGAGAGTAAAATTGAATTGCAAAAATATGCATACAATATTGAACTGAAGTTGAAAGCAAATGCACCTTGCAGTTGTGTTCCATCAACACATTTTTCCGCACCAGATGGCAAGCAATACAGCTCTGAAAAAGTCCGGTTGAAATGCTTGTCGACTTCTACCGAGGAGTCTCCCTGGAAATAGAGCAAGACAACACCTCTTGGGCTGTAATGTGTTTGGACAATATCTTGCTCGGCGCTGCAAGCGGGAGCTACTTCAGCTGTTTGCTCGTTTGGAGCAAATTGTTCGTCTGTGCTGTTTGCAAGGCTGCTCGGTGGACCGGGTCTGAGGTAACGGCTGCCTCCAAGTTCAGGCTGTTGCATACTGGTAATGGATAGTTTTTCGCAGTAAAACTTACGGCAAGCAAGTTTTAACACAGTTCGGTAAAAAGGAAATGCTCTTGCAATATTTATAGCGATAGTTTGAGCTTAATGCCGGGAATGAGGCAAACAAAAATTTTATGAGAGATACACGTGTTAACTTAGATTTTCATATGGGAAATGATCACCACTGCTATAAAGTGTAGCGCCAATTGTTTGAAAAAACTGCACGCATGACGATTGTGCGTGCTATCGAAAACACCTTTTTTTGCCATTCAAACAAAGAATCTATATTCCAAACTCTTGTTCTTTGTTATTGTGTTTCTGTTGCTTATATTCTCGGTGACTCGGAAGTCAGCCAAGCGCGGTCTGATTGCACGCGTGCTGAACAAGAATGCTGTATAATGACAGACTAGAAACAATAGACAACTCCCAAAGCACAAACTCAGCCAAAACGCTAAAAAACGTCAGTGTTTACTCAAGTTTGGGCTTATAGAAGATAATGTCACAGTTTTTCAATGACCATGAAATTCAGAGTCCGGGTAGTTAGTTAATCAATTGTGGCCCTGAAAAAATTTGAAGGGAAAAAAACTAAGAATTTTTAAGAAAATGCTTTTTTCGTGAGAAGGACTCTTAAACGCTGACAAACTTCAACAAATAGCTAAAACTATAATTTCTATATGTTTGCTTTGCTCGAAATCGCGCGCATTTACAAGGCCCTAAAGCGTTTTGCTGACTTGCAAGGACCCATCTGTTATAACGATCCCCAAAATAAAGGGATAAGTCTCATAGTTTATTAGATATAATCGTGTAAAGTTTGCTTATCATTTTCGAATAAATTATGACCTAAATTTGGAAACCGCTGAATTTCTCGAATTGGGTCTTTGCGATTTTGGTGAAACTCTGTTCAGCGCAAGGCACTAATGCGCACTATGTGTCGCCGAGAGATTTTCACGAAAAAATGCCAGCAACAGCAGATTTTCAACTCAGACCTCAACGGGGCATGGTATTATATATGTTATCCATTCTATATTTTAGACTTACGATAAAAGTAAAGGTGGGGATACCAGAGAGCTTCAAAGTAGGATGGTACCCCCCCCCCAAAAAAAACTGGGTCGAGTCACCTTAAGACAATAGGAAATCTCAGAGCAAAAACGTAGCCAGGTCTATGATTTCCCTTCAATATTTGCTCGTTTTGCGCCTACGTTAGTACAACTTTTAAAATTTAAAAGGACACGAAATTCGGAGGTTTTATAGAACACTGATCGATTGTAGCACTAAAATTTTTTAAAGAAAATCTATCGACGAATTTTTGTTTAATCCCTGTTTTCGTGAAAGTAGCTCAACATTGTTTTTCACGGTGATTTACGTGTTTTCGTGTTTTTTCGAAATCGCGCAAGTGTACTTGCGTTTAGCTGATTGTAGAGTGTTTATTGTTTATTGTTTTGTTTGCCATAAATTGTACAAAGCAAAAAAAATCTAATTATTTAAACTCTCATGGCGAGGAAGCCCAAGAGAAGCCACCGGGCTTATAAGGAATGGGCTCCCTCAGTTAGATAATTAGAACAAAATATTATCATAATTACACATGGGAAAACCAATGGCAGAGCTACAGTAAATCTTAAAATAAACACATTAGATAGTCGTACTAATCATAGTTCTAGGCTAAAAAAAGCGAAATGACAAAAAGAAAAATTGAAAATGAGGGTCATTTACAGAACGAACAGTGATAAAACATTTCGGAAACATCCAAAAAGTGCGAATTTGTCTGCATTAAGTCCAGTTTCAGTTAATGCATACATTATGCCCTTTTTGAACAAAATCCAAGATATCTCGAAATAGACCTTTTTACCGATACGGCGGCCATACTGAATTAATTCGATTTAAGGAGTATTATAGGATGCCCAGGGGGCATGAGCACATTTCGTTTGTATTTTCAGGCGCTTTTCGGGACATTTTTTTAAAGGTTTTCTTAGAAGAAGATAGTAATGGGAAAAAAGATCCTTGTGACGGTGTTTGGATGTAATAATGATCGCCTTTTTCTAGTTTAGTATCAGAAATATGGTCTTCCATTGTATATTTCTCGGAAAAAAGGCGATCATTATTACATCCAAACACGGCACAAAAATCTTTTTTTCTCATTACAATCTTATTCTAAGAAAACTTTAACATAAAATGTCCCGAAAAGCGCTCGAAAATACATACGAAATGTGCTCATGCCCCTTGAGCATCCCATAATACTCCTTAAATCGAATTGATTCAATATGGCCGCCGTATCGGTAAAAAGGCACTCTTATAGATTTTTTTTTGAAACTTCGCACAACAGAAGACAAGCACCCAAAATGTAAGTAACGTCAAGCATTTCTAAAGAAAATGCCGATTCAAATTGCAGCAAATTGTTCCCAAATTTAAATTTTTCCCACGTTTGGTGCATCAATGCTCCAAGATACAATACATAATGTCCTTCGTTGGTCTAACGACAAAAGATTCAAACTGAACTCACTTAAGTGCAAGGAACTCAGAATAGACTTTCGAAGGGGCAGTAACTTGGACACTGTTTCTCTTAAGGCTACTGTAATGCTTTTGAAATTGTGAAATCAGCTAAAATTCTGAAAATTTTAGGCGTCACGGTAAGGGATGACCTTAGATGGAACGATCATGTCGATAATATTACTGCGAAAGCGTCTAGAATTTATTTGCTTAAGCAACTTAAGCGCGCTGGTGTAGACCCTAAGTCCCTAATGCAATTTTATTGCGCATACATTCGTTCCGTCCTAGAATATGCATGCCAGGCTTTCCATTCGAGCTTGCCAGCCTATTTGTCGTTTATTCCCAAAAATTCTCGTTTCCCGTCCTACTTTGCAAAGCAGTATTCAAAACTGCGGTCGAAATGTAAATGGATCGCTTGGATTCGATATGTTTATATGAAGGGGAAGCTGCGACAACAATGTCATTGCATGCCCCTGGAACATAAGCACCATTTTATACGTCGCTGTATCATAAAACACCCTACTGGATTATGTTCCGTTTTTTTTTTTATTGCATCATTCTATTCGATCATGTCCTCTGTGATTCCAGTGCGGTACGTAGACTCCGCGGTAATCGATGTGGCTGAGGAACCTAACAGGTTCCTTAGTCAATACCTTCGCGCACTTCAGTTGCCTTAGAAAAGGAAGGCGCGATGTAACTTTTTAATCATTGACATTTCTACGTGCGCATTCCATTTTAAAACTTTAGATATTATAACACCTAAGAATTATCACATGGAACACAACCTCAATGTTGGTATTATTCAGGTAATAAGCTCGGCTTAAGAAAAAATAACGACACCCTTACATTCACGTGACGCGTAGCGAGTGACGTGCACGGGGGAAATACTTAACCCGAGAGAAGCATGGAACTAATAAACAATGATATTGTTTGCAAAACAAAAGTTAGCTATATTCTTTATTTACAATAGGATAAGTTTACAAAGAGCAAGCAATTCATTCATACGAACTGGCCAAACGGATCGGTCCGATACCAGACAAGACCAGATGTGCGTTAAAAGGACTATTCCTCTTAAACACAACTGATCTGCCAATGGCTGGTTACTGCTGGACTAATAAAAATTAACCCACAAGAGGTTGTCATGTTGTTTTAGTGCACGTCACAGTTCAAACTCGTCCCCAGACTCCCAGAGCAAAGGGAAATCTCTGGGGACAAGGTTGGCCACAACTGATAATAGAATCTAAAAAGTGGCCAAAGAGTTCTAGGATCTGTTTGGTTGATAACAAACGATCCGTTTGGCACTACTTTCGTGTGAACATATCTTCAGAGATCAGAGAAGAAGACAAGTTTCAAATTATTTTTTGCGAACATTTAGAACTGTTCGTAATCTGCGCAATAACATTTCTCAACTCCAAACAGCAATGAAAGCACAACAATAAACAAATAAGTGTGATATAAAACACACTCAAGTCCACATGAATTAAAGAAAACAAACGCTGACTGATTTTTCTTAGTTCCACATCTTGACCACGTTGTAGTTTGATGTATGATGTCATGACTCATTGACATAAGCGCCGATAACATAGAATGACGTCATTTAAACTGTGTATCAACATATGACTGACTTTGATTTCTTCCATTCCCTTGCAATGATATTGAGTAACTTATAAGTAACAGTAACGCAGGCGTTGACATGTGACAACTTTGTGCGACGAAATTCAATTGTCTCTTTGCTGTGCAAATATGGTAGTATGTTGGAGATCTTTTTCAGATTCGAGTGTAAAATAACAAAATAGAAACAATTTATTCAAACAATTTATACGGCAATATTGAAAAAGGGAAATGACGAAGGGGTTGAAGAAGGGTTAAAGGGTTTAAAACAGAGAATAGAACATAGCATAAAACTAGCAAAGGAAAAAACAATAAACGACAAGAGCCTAGCCTATAAATTACAAAGAGAGCTGTGCGCCTGAATTGCAAAAAAATACAGCCTATTGAATTGCAAAAAGCATGCATATAAATTGAAAAAAGCCTGCAAAGTTTTAAGAAGTGGGCAACTAAATTGCAAAATGGCCTATTAGATTGCCAGAAAAAATTGAAAAAATGTAGGCTTGTAACAGTTTGACGTTGGAGACAAGGAAATTACACAGCAAAAGTCCAAATGAACATGGTCACGCCCAAAGAGTGCCATGAATCGATGCACCACTGTCATTTATGAATGATCAAATATCAAAGCATCTAATTGGATGAACAAGTTCGACCACATGAAGGATGACGTTATTGTACGTCATCAATGTGACATACGATATTCATAATGAGAATTTTGGCATTAAAGTCATGATATAATGGTTTCAGCCCCTTGGGTCACCGTCCCTGTTAAATTTGTGCCTAGTTTGGTTTTTCAGTTTGGTAAGTAATTATCACATAAAGATTTTTTTCGACAGCTATATATTTGTACAGTATAAAATTCCGACAAGTTACTCTCCATTTTGATTGGAAAAAAAAGCAGACGAAGTTATGAAGTATTTACTATGATACTGGTTATCGGTTCATTTTTTCACCATTTACATATTTACATTTTTGCTTATTTACAACTTGAACCATAAAAAAACTGAAAACTGGATCAGAAGGAATTGAATGAAGAAATACTAAACGATTTGCTCTTACTAAAGGACGTGTTACTAGGATCGAGGCAAGACGTGAAAAGAAATATTAACTGTAAACAATTTACATCTAGTGTTCTCTTACAGAAGAAACGGAAATGGCTCTAAAATTCCTTTTATCGATAAGAACTTGTAAGTAATGGCTTAAATGTAGGTCTCTATTTTATTTACAAATTTAACTATTTACATATTTACATTTTAAGCCACGGTAGAACAGAATCTG